TGTCATCTTTAGCACGGCCGTGCCAGGCAGCTGCACGGCCGTGCCAATTCTAGCATGGCCGTGCCAAATTGAAGAAGAAATCCGGTTTAGCTACTGACAAGCTAGCACGGCCGTGCCAAATATAGCACGGCCGTGCTGATCCAGGGTCGACTGCGCGCTTGAATTCTCCGAATTAGAAGACGTATATAAGGCCCGACTTTAAGGGGCGTTTTTAGACAGTTTTAGAGATAGTTTTTGGGAGCCCTTTGTAGAGAGTTATTGGAGAACGTTCTTGGTATTAGAGATTCATTAGTTTTCTTAAAGATTATTCTAGCGATTTTAGTTTCTTGGATTGATTTGAAGCAAGATTTGTGAAGATTCTTTGTATTATTCATTGACGACGGATATCAAAGTTCTAAACTTTTCCATTGATTCGCATCAATACAATTGGTATTATTCATTCTTGTTTATTAATCTAGCTTTATTATTCCTTAATCTGAATTTATGTTTAGATCTATGATGTTTATGGAATCTATTATTGTTGTGATTATGAATATGTGTGAGTAGTTTCCTAGCTAGGGTTTTGGGATGAAACCCGGCCTAGGTAATCTACGTAATTAAGGTTTGATTTTGATAAACGGATTGTGATTAAATTGATTATATGCGATTGCATGTTAATTCACTATAATAGGAGTAGCTAACCTAGAATCTTGAATTTGATTGCATGTTATTCTCAGTTTGAACAATAGATTGTGAATTGAGTATTTCATTATTGAATGTGGTTTGATTATGTATCGAGTAATGTTAAGTGCATGAGAAATCCAAGCTTGGTATTGCCCGTTGTCTTCCTATCGCACGATATTGATCAGACATATAGTCTTTGCATATCCCGTTTGTCTCTATGATTCCTTGTTGCGTAGTTACCGATGGTTTGGTGAATTCTCGTTCTCCCTAGTGTCTTAGTTTATTGATTTATTCTATCTTATTAGTAGTATTTTAGAACACCATTTACCATTGATTTCGAACTAGCTTAGGTTTATGATTGATTTGCAATTACTCTCGTTCCTCGTGGACCGAACCTTTATTTGCCATTGTACTTGGTTATAGGGTGTTCGTATAAGTATTGTTTGATTAAGAGTTAGATTGTAGCGACCGATTTAACCCTTGTCACGTTTCGGCCAGACGCCACCCCTACTTTTCGTATTTTTTTCCCCGGATTAACTCGCTTTCGGGCGACAATGACGGCTCTCCAGTTTCCCCCGGCGATCCACTCCAGCTCCACGTTCTTCGTGAGAGTGAATTATGGTTTCGGTAAAAATTAGAAAAAGGGAAAAAGAGTCAAAGTAAAAATAATTGTGGGCTTTATGTAGAGATTTGTGGGCGATGTTTAACAAATCCCTATAATATATTGTTGGAAATCTCTTTTCAAGCCCCATCAAACTACACAATTATTAAAACCAGATTATTGACCAAAATAAACTAGTTTGGACGTTTTATAAAGTGGACACTAAATGAATTATTTTGGTCTTAAGGACACAAAATAAATGATTTTGGATTAAAATTTTTTAGGAAAGGTTAGAAATGGTCAAGGATAAAGGGAAATTCACGAGACTCTCCAACTCTTCACCTAACTCGATAATCAAAGACGTGAAAGGTACTCATCACTGGGTTTGGTTTTTGGGGAGACACAATCAGGTGTCTATAATTAGTAATGTTATTTTTCACAGAATAAACAATATTTATCATAGTAAATTTAATTCAATAACAATGAATAATCGTATGACATTCTCTTAACTCAATGTTTTTTGTTAAATTTAACCTATAATGAAAATGTTTGTATACACTTTGGTGTAAGATGCACCTAAAAGTCAATTATATTATTGCTTAAAATCTTGTGTCGATCAACGTTTGTCAACTTAGCAAGGATGGATAGGGTATCATACGGATAATATTAGCAATGTCTTTATTATAGTGTAAGGAAAAAGCCGAAGTATATGTTATGTACTCCCTCCGTTTTTTTAAGTGCCCCACTTTTCAAAAACGGTCGTTTTTATTAAGTGCCCAATTACCAAAAGTGGAAACTATACTCACATTATATATTATTTCTCTCTTCCTTTAAACCCCACTATCATTTTATAATATTTTCACACTCTCACATTATTCCTAGCGGCCCCCATTCATATTTCTCTCTCTTACTATTCCAAATTTTTTATTCCTAATCATACTGTAGGGAATTTTTCAAACTCGTCATTGAGCCCGACTGCGGTTCATGCTTTTAGGCATGGCGGCGTTCCAAGGAAAAGAAGCTAGAGATAAAAGAGTCACCAACAAGTTTTAGGAACTTGTAAACCGTTCACGGGTGTGAAGGTTACACCCCATTCACGATCACGGAGATCGCTAACTACATAGTGGTCCGGAACCATGACTGGATGTTCGGGGATGATGGTACGATTCCAACCTAAAAGAGATTGAACCCGCCCTAAATAGGCATCTACTTAATTCTTATGATATTCATGCGCGCTTTTCGATCACCATACATATATCAAATTAATCCTAAACCTGTTTAATCTACATTGGTTGATTATTAATGCACAATCAAATCTAATATTGGTAATCACTTGAATTAAAATCATATTAGCCTAAATTAAATTTTAATTATCTTATTAGGCGTGATTTCAAGTACAAATTCCCTTTAAACCTGCAAAAAGGGGCGCGATCAAGCAATAACAATAAATCATTTATAATCAAGCAACATACGATCAAAACAACGATCATGATCATAAGAACAACATCAAAACATCGTTAATAGTAAGATCCTAGACATGATACTAAACAAATTAATAACAAATCCTAGCATGTAACTAATAACAACATCAGAGCGTTGTCCTAAACATGATACTAGAAATCATAAAAACATCCTAAGCATGATACTAGGAATTAAAATAACATTGTAAACATGATTTCTACTCCAAAATCAAAAGAATAATAATAAGGGTGATTAAATTACTCACTTTGATGCCTCAATCTTCTTGCTATTAAAACAATACACACGTTAGTAAACTTATTTTTATTTTTGCATTTGAATCTTGTTTGAATAAGTGTGGGCAATCCCGATCATGTGGTCTATCACTCACTTGGCATTCATGTTCCTCAGGCACGGTGCCGAGCACTCGATAAGAGACGCAATCCGAGACGTGTTTATATCAAAGACATTGGAACACTTGCCCTTTTGCACACCTTTATTATTTTTGAACTTTCGAAATTTTGGGATTTTGGTAAAAATCACTCAAGCTTTTGCATAAATTGCACACCATCCCATCCCAAGTTTAGATAAATGTGGGTTGAAAAAAGAAAGGTCAATCGTTAGACGAGGCTTAAAGTGGTTTATCAAGAAAGAATTGTATATTCAAAAGGGTAAAGGTGATATGATGTGGCTACAAAAGGTGTCTCGAATAATAGGTATACCTTGTGCTTAGTTCGGTGTAGAATTTAAATTTTTTTATTTTATTTTTTTGAAATAAAAATAAAATAATCATATGCAGGGATATAAATGCTCATTTTATTGAAAATGGTAAAAACAAACTCATGAAGAAAAATATGGAGGGTTATATGCTAGACTTATTAAGGGAAAGGGAAATCAACAAATAAGAAAGAAAAATCATGAAAATCCTAAAAATCAAAGTGCCTTATGCCTTGTTCCATCATCACTCGGTCTTCTTGCCGGCTGGAGGGAATGCAAGCTTGTTTGCATCAATAAGATCTTGAATGAGGTTTTGAAACCTGTAACATTCATCTGTGGTGTGACCATTTCCTTGATAGTATTTGTAATAAGATTTGGGATTCCATCTTGAAGATCGTTTTTCTGGTGTTAGATCCTCAGTAGGACCAATATGCTTGATTAAACCTCGATCATAGAGACGATCGAAAGCAACATCATATGATATTCCAATAGGGGTGAATTCTCTTTTGTACTTCTTCGCTTTTGAAGCATCTTTATCAAGGGCCCATATTTCATCAGCATCAATGTTGTTAATGTGATGGGAAGAAGCAGAAGAAAGATTGTCGTTCTTCCTGCTCTTGACATTATTGCCATTGTGATTAGCCTTCAAGAGGTCATCTTCAATGTTAATGCCTATGTCATAGACGGCTTTGAAGGTGCTTAAAGGTTGATATTTTAGGTGCTTATAATACTTGTCTTGAAGGTTTTTGATGAACATTCTTACATAGTCTGTTTCATTTAGGGCCTTGATCATCTTAGCAAAAACTTCCTTCCACCTATTACAGAATTCGATGAAGCCTTCATTATCTTTTTTCTTAAGGATTTTGAGCTCTCTATAGTCTGTCTCTACTTGTATGTTACACTTGTACCTGTCAATGAAAGTATGCGTAATACCATCCCAAGTAGCGATTTTCTCATTGCCCATAGAAAAGAACCATTGTTGACATGCTAGTTCAAAGGAAAGAGAGAAAAGTGAGGGGAAAGCTTTCTTATCAACCCCCTTGATTCCTGTGATTGTCTCAAAAGCTCTCAGGTGGAAGTAAGGGTTATCTATGGGTTTGAACATGGGAATGTTAGTGGCAAAGAACTTGTGCGGAAGAAGATCCTTTTTCCAGTGAGATTCCCTTAGAGCTTAGGCCAAGATACTTATAGTCATTGGATACTTGACTTAGGCCTTCTTCGATGCGCTTGATTGTCTCAAGTGGAACATATTTTCCAAGGTCCTTGGCCTTATCCATTCGAGTGGTGAGTCATTTGACCAGTTCAACCAAATCATCTACGGTCTTTTGAATTTTGTCAACATCTTCTTGTTTGGCCGCCATTGGTTTCTACTTCTTTCGAACCATGTTATGGAGAAGGAGTACTTGTACAAAGGTATTATCTCGAATTAAGAGCCCTTTTTTCCTTGACCAAACGTTGTGGAAAGGGAAACCATACACAATCATTGTCAATCACAGGATTCGAACTCGATTCAACATGCATAGATGGGGAAAGATCATAGTGTATGAGGTGAATGATACGCATGGGGAAAGCATGTAAGAGGAGAGAAAGTGGAAAGTGTTATAAGAAGGAAAGTGTAAGGTATGTAATGATGTAAAGGGAAAGAGTGTATTTGTGGAAAGATATGGAAAAAACAAGGATAAGAATGGACCCTCAACTCAAATGACGGAAAGGACGACTCATGTATGGACCTAAGACATGATCATGGCGTGAAAAAAGTATGTACAAAGTATGTGCAAAGACTCGTGAGTAAAAGTGTTATGTCAAGACATGTGTGATGACCATGGGACTAGACAATGTGGTTGGACTCAAACAAGACCAAGTAAACACCATATTTATATATTAAACTGGTTAATCGTAGCAGAGGGACTTGATGCGGAGACTCGGAAAGAAAGCGGCTAAACCATTACATGGCGATGGAATTATCGCAGGACGATGGCTCTATCGCAACGCGTCAAGCCTAATGCAGCGTGTTAGTAACCATCGTTATGCGCCACGAGTCTGAGGTGCTGCGCCAACGTTGGAACATCCTAGTGACTCATTTTCAGTCGTTCTTTTGAAGGTTTAAGCCTAAAGTCTTCTAGGTTCGAGCATATTCATAATATATGAGTTGATTTTCATTAACCGAATTAATTAAGCAAAGTCTTTTGGGTTAATATATACAAGTCATATGTACAAGAAACGAGTCAACGCAAAGGTTAGTTTAATCACAAACAAGGTATGCACAAGTAGTCAGAACATGATGCAATGAGTTTGTAACCTAACCATGGCTCTAATTCTATAAGGTCAAGGATTATGGTGTCTAAAAGGGTCCATGGCTAAGAGTCCAGATGCATCGCGCGGAAGCCTTACCTTAGAAAGGTTGGCACGATGGACGAGACCTTGCGAGTTAAACTCAACTCCATGGTCTGGTGAATTCAACAAATTCAGATGCACCTATTATTGCACGGAGCGTTTATTAGGGTGAACGGAATGTGAATTACCAAGGGCTAAAACCATATGTAAAATAATATGGGTTCAGAAAGGTCGGAAAAACTTAATCAGGAAGTAAAATCGTCAAGACAGTACTAGAATCGAGCCAACACGAAGACAAAAGGCTAGCGCAAAATCGCCAGATCCATCGCTCGACAACAAAGACCATCAACCAACGAAAACTCCATCGCGGCGCGATGAAGCTGTCATCTGACCATGGTCGCTGACGTCCTGCGATAGCTTTGACATTCTACGGCAGCTTCAATTTTCAATGCTTTTTCCAATTTTTCGTAGCATCTTTTCAATTCCAGTTGTGATAAATATTTCCGGCCTTTACTATGTGTATATCCTATGTTTTCGACGCATTACGGATGATCTTTCAATGCGAACCTTTTAATGCATATGCCATAATGTTAACCAAAATTACGCACATAAATATCTAGAATCTTTCAAGTATCATCCACTTATTCTAAATCAATTGCTAAATTAATTAGAAATCAATTTAAAAATCCTACCCAGTAAAGTCCCCAAAAACTATGGGGAATTTTTCAAAGTCATCTTTGAGCCCTACTGTGGTTCATGCTTTTACGCATGGCGGCGTTCCAAGGAAAAGAAGCTAGAGATAAAAGAGTCACCAACAAGTTTTAGGAACTTGTAAACCGTTCACGGGTGTGAAGGTTACACCCCATTCACGATCATGGAGATCGCTAACTACATAGTGGTCCGGAACCATGACTGGATGTTCGGGGATGATGGTACGATTCCAACCTAAAAGAGATTGAACCCGCCCTAAATAGGCATCTACTCATTTCTTATGATATTCATGCGCGCTTTTCGATCACCATACATATATCAAATTAATCCTAAACCTGTTTAATCTACATTGGTTGGTTATTAATGCACAATCAAATCTAATATTGGTAATCACTTGAATTAAAATCATATTAGCCTAATTTAAATTTTAATTATCTTATTACGCGTGATTTCAAGTACAAATTCCCTTTAAACCTGCAAAAAGGGGCGTGATCAAGCAATAACAATAAATCATTTATAATCAAGCAACATACGATCAAAACAACGATCATCATCATAAGAACAACATCAAAACATCGTTAATAGTAAGATCCTAGACATGATACTAAACAAATTAATGACAAATCCTAGCATGTAACTAATAACAACATCAGAGCGTTATTCTAAACATGATACTAGAAATCATAAAAACATCCTAAGCATGATACTAGGAATTAAAATAACATTGTAAACATGATTTCTACTCCAAAATAAACAGAATAATAATAAGGGTGATTAAATTACTCACTTTGATGCCTTAACCTTCTTGCTATTAAAACAATACGCACGTTAGGAAACTTTAAGAAAGTTAAATCATTAAAGTAAATAAATCAAATATTAATTGATATAGAGATTTAGGACTAAACCCTCATAACCATCAACCTTTCACGTCGAGGTCAAAGGCAACGTCGAGTATGGGTTGGAGTATTAGAATCTTACGGAGGTATTGTGGATGATTTGAGAGAATATCAAGGATGTGTTTAGGCTAAAAACATGGATGATTGATAAGGTTTGATGATGATTAGAGCTAGGTGGTCATAGCTTATGATTGATGGTTCTAACTGATTTGAAAACGGGGAAAACGACCTCTTTTATAAGGAAAAAAGAGAGTCAAAGCGATCAGAAAGATCAGAATTTGGAACGGAATAAAACAGGTTTCATCGTGGCGCTATAGGACTATCGCGGCATGTTGGTGTTGTCGTCGTGTGATGATTTCTAAAGATAAATAGACGTACTGAATTTGATTTCCAATAGAATTGGGTTAGCAAAATATATCCTTGCGTCTTTGAATTTGATCGAGATAAGGACTATTAAAAGAGAAATTTTATTTGGCTTCAAACTCTTTTGATCTTTATCTTTTTCGGAAAGGATAAATTAGAACCTTCTAGAAGATTCTAGAAGCTCCTAAGAAATCCTAATGTGATTAGGATTGGGACTAAGGTATTTAACCCTCACATGATCATTGGGTCGTAAGTAAGGTGGACCTATATCCGGTTTGGGCTTGGTTTAGTATTTTGACCATAACTTGTTCGTTTTAAGTCGGATTTGGGCTTATAATATATTGTTGGAAAGCTCTTTTCAACCCCATCCAACTAACAATAACTGGACCGGTATTATGGACCAAAATAATTTGTTTAGGATGCTTTTATGAGTTAGACACGAATAAAATATTTTAAGGACACGAAATAAACAATTTTGGGTTTAAAGACACGAAATAAATGATTTTGGAATAAAACATTTTAGGTAAGTTAGAAATATGGTTAAGTTCTAAGGGAATTTCATGAGACTCTTCAACTTTTTACCGAACTCGTTAATCAAATACGTGAAAGGTACTCATCACTTGGTTTGGTTTTTGGGGAAACACAATCAGGTGTCTACACATACCTACTTATACATTATTTTATTCTTTTGCCTAAAACTATGTGCCCAAGGGTACGGGGCACTAAAAAAAAATTATTGGAGGGAGTATATATAGACAAATTATATATTTTAAGTTAGTGTTGAACTAACTAAAGGTATTAATTTAAAATGGATGAAGTATTAATTACTCAAAATGAAGGAAGTAATAAACAAAAACACATAGTACATCTATAGCTTATGTTTATCAATGACTTAAATTTATTAGTAAAAAATTATTAGAAAAATAAAGAAGTATTAAGTATACTAGGTTAAATCCCGTGCAATGCATGGTTGTTAATAAATTGACTAAAAAATGTTAAAAAAATTAAAAAAATATATGTGCAATAGAAATTAATTTAAGGAAAAATTGTCAAAAATAATACAATCTTTAAGCGGTTCGTAAAAAAAAATCAACTTTTTGTTTTAATAATACAACCTTTGGGGGGTTTCGCTTTAAACAAGTTATAACAGTTTATATGGGACACGTGTCAAAATTTTATTGGTTTGGGACTGGATATAACTTGTTTGAAGAGGAAACCCCTAAAGGTTGTATTATTTAGAGATAATCAATAGGTTGACTTGTTAAAAAAAATTTGCACATCCCCGATTTACACTAAAGTTAATGTAAATCCGGCGGCTGGAACGTGCGAGAATTTTTTTTTTTTAATTTTCAAAAACAAATCACGCAACAAAATACCTCAAATTCATAACACGTAGAACAAAAATGGAGGAGAGAGAAAGTGAGTACATGCAGAGAAAACGGGAAAACTCATACCTTAGGGCTTCGTCATCTATGGAAAATTCATTAAAAAAAACTTCAATACCTCAAATTGTGGTAATCTAATCCACGAATTACTACAAAAACAGAGACAAATTGAAACTCCATTGTTAGGTAATTTTGAGAACTCGAATTCTTAAGTTGAAATCGATTTAAATCGCTCGATTATAGAAGAAGAAACAAAGAGTTTTGGCGATAATAGAAATCCAGAAGAAGCAGACAATGCAGAAGAGAGAGAAAATCATATTGTCCCTCATAAATCAATTGACTCAAATTCAGAACAAACATCCAAATCAAATGCAACTGAAGGCAACTTCTATACAATCAACCTTCTAATTAATCAAAATTCATATTGTTTTATTTTAATTGTTGAGTAACCAAACTAGTTGAATAAGGAACCATAATTGTTATTTTTGATATGAAAGTACATGAAATTATGTTACTTGTATGAATGCACAAATTACTAATCCACGAATTACTCTTGAGAAAATTCAGGTCGTATGCAAAAAAGTTACCCTTTGTATGCACAAATGTTACCCCTTTTATGCATATAAGTGACCCATATACCACATATTATTACTCCCCTTCACTTTGATTTATAAACAGAATGACATGTTGCCTTTGGTTGTCTAATATGTCTGAATTAATCCTTTGGTATGAGTGTTGTGTGAATATTATGCTAAAATATATACTTACTCTATTAAATCACATATGGAAATCCAATTGATGCCTCTAGTTTAGATCTTAGAGGATCATTTGTTAGTGTGGTAAGAGAAACTTTTGCAGAAATTTTGGAGTTCTATGAAAAACATGCTGCTATACTAGGGTTTTCAATAAGAAAGCATACAACAAGATACTTCACACACACAAAGATAGTCCAAGAGAAGAATTATGTATGTTCTGCAGAAGGAAAGAGAAATTCAGGTGACAAGAAAACAAAATTAGTTGAAATGGTTGATGAAGAGAATGTAAAGGTGAAAACAAGAAAGTCAAGACAAGTAGCCATTACACGATCTGATTGCAAGGCATGCATAAGAGCGAAAGTAAATAAAGAAGGACATTTTGAGGTGATGGCACATGTATTTCAACATAACCACGATCTAACAAGGTCACAGTGGCATTATTTGCATCGTTCTGAAAGAAAAATGACAAAAGAAAAAGCTAAAGCAATCAAAACAATGAAATCTTCAGATCTAACTACAATGGAGACTTATAATTACATGTCTACAAAAGCTGGGGGAGAGCAGAATGTAGGGCATAGTGTTGTAGATCACCTGAATTTCTACTCAAGGTTAAGAATGGAGCAAATTGAGGCTGGAGATGCTCAAACTTTAGTGAACATTTTAAATTAGGAACAATCAGAGGATCCAAACTTCTTTTTAGAGTGAAATTTGACAATGAAGGAAGACTTTCCAACATCTTTTGGAGAGATTCAATGATGCTAGAAGCCTATAGGATATACGGAGATGTTCTTGTCTTTGATACAACATACAAAACCAACCGATATAATAATCTTATATGTGCTCCTTTTGTTGGCATAAACAATCACTAGAAAAATTGTATGTTTGCATGTGCTTTTATTATGGATGAAAAAATAGTCATTTATGTGGTTACTAGAAAGCTTCAAGAAAGTATGGAGGATAAAACACCAACATCAATATTCACTGAGCAAGACCAAGCAATGTCAAATGCAATTGAGCAGGTAAAAAGTTTATATATACATATTACCCTAAATATTTTTATTGCAAAACTAATAAGTTCTGACAACATACAACATTTTACTTTGAATGTAGGTGTTTACTAATACAAGGCATCGACTTTGTATATGGCATTTAGAACAAAATGCAATCACAAGATTTGGGGCTCTTAAAAAAGATAAAGTGTTTAAGCATGAATTCAACAAATGCTTAAAGGATTGTGTGACTGAACAAGAATTTGAAGAAAGGTGGCATGCAATGACACACAAATTTGAATTGACAACACATTCTTGGTACAAAAGAGTGTATGAATGTAAAGAAAAATGGTGTCCAGCCCTTAGTAGAGATTTCTTTTAAGCACGAATTCTTTCATCAAAAGGGGTGAAAGCATAAATCATGCAATAGGTTTCAAAGCAAGTAAATCAACTACCTTGATAGAATTTTATGCCATATTTAAGAAGACGATCAATCGTTGGAGAAGCACAGAGAAGTATGATGAGTTCACCTGTAGCAAGTTAATAGTATTCACTTCATTGCCACTGTCCGGAATGCTAAAGCATGCTGCACAGGTAAAGTTATTCTCAAAAGTACATAAATAACACTATTTAGCAAATTAACAGTAGCTACATGATTTTGGTGCACAGGTTTTCACTTTGTCACTCTTTAAAGATTTTGAAGAGGAGTTTGGATACTCTATGACAACAATTGTTCAAATGATAGGGAGAACTGAGGAATATGTACTTCATCAAGTATCCCTAGAAGACAAGCCATGGTCTGCACATCAAGTAAACTATATACATGAGAGCCAAAGTGTATGGTGTACTTGCAATAATTTTGAAGCATTTGGATGGCTATATCATCATTACATCAGAATTCTACATCTACATTCAATAACAAGAATACCAAAAAAGTATGTTACAAAAAGATGGACTAAGTTTGCAAAATCAGAGGTGTGGAATTGGTTGAAGAATCAAGATCTTACACGGCATATATACCATGGAGGAAAACAATGATGAGGAAATACTATAATTTAACCTTAAAAAGTCAAGAAATGAAAAGACGAGAGCATTTATGGAAGAAAGCTTCAGAAATAGTCTAAACATGGTGGAAGAGTTACTTGCTACTACTGCCCAGAGAGAAGAAGGTGTTAAAGCTGCTTTTGACATTCCTGATGTGGTAGAAAGCACTTAGAGCAATAATGATGTTTCTTCATCATCAAGTACAAGCACAAGTATACCAACTATACTTGATCCTAAAAGAGTAGTAACAAAACGAAAAAACAAGAGAGCAAAAAGAGGGCTTGATAAAGGGAAACCTAACATACGACTCCTTAAGAATTTTTTCTACCAAAGTTAGAACATTTTTTTATCATTATTGTTTCGGGGTTTTCTGATGTCCTGCGGGAGAGTTACAATTCCGAGACTGGAACCGGACGCCTGTACCTGCAAAATAACGGAGACTCCTGGTGGTGAGAGCTCCGCCTCCAACGGTCAAGTTAGTACTTGATTAAGGAGTAATTAATGCGGAAATTAAAGTGATTGGGTCTCTCTAGGTGAGAGTGTTTAATGTAGGTAATCTGCTTTGTTAGCGAGATCAGCCGGTTATTACTGTGTGTAATTAATGTGTTTTTTCGTAATCCCCCTTAATGAGGATTAAGGGAGGTATTTATAACCTTGGGAAACGTGCCCATCCTAGGTTTAGGTTAACCTAGGGCTGATTGGGCTTCCCTCGGAAGTTGGGCCTGGGTGGCCGGTTTCTCCATTAGGCATGGAGTATGCCACATGTCATGACATAATAGGTCCAAGGTGGACGAATAAGCGCGTGCCACGTGGCATGCCCTGACGATTCCATCTTGGGGTCACTTGGCAGGACCTGATTGGCCCACGTGGCGCATTCCGATTGGTGGGAGAAAAATCCCCTAATCATTTGCCCCTCACAGGTGGCACGTGACTGGTCACGTGTTACCTGTGACAGGTGCCGCACTGTAATAGGCGACGAAAGGCCGAGAGATTTTCCCGCCCAAATTTTGAATTCTGAAAGTGACCCTTTGCCTTCTCACTTCGCCTATATAAGGGAGAGTTGTCTTGAGTCATATTCTCACTTGAGAACTTTTTGAGAGAGAACATTCGGACCCCTGAACTTGCTCTGATATTTTGGACCTTTTCTGCCTACCGCCTGTTCTGACAAGCCGACTGCAAAGGATTTTCAGAACTTCATCAACCGTCACTCGTTCAGGTAACTGTCAGTTCTCTTACTCTTAATTTTCTTTTTATTTTTTGAAATGGCACCACGGAAGCACACGACACGACCTAGGTTAGTGATCAGCCGGTCACCGGGGACGGCTGAATCTAGGACTAGGAGTGCCGCCTGCCCTTTTCCGGACCCATCTTTGCCCTTTATACAAAGTCCGACTGTATCTGTGTCTATGCAGAGCAGAATGGCCAGAACGAAAAAGACTGCTAGGATCTCAAATTCAGACGGCTCCTCCCACAGGGTGCCGCTTAGTGAAACATCTGACCAGGCGCCAGATGTGGAAGTGAAACAAGGCGGCCTAAAAGCCGGAAATTCTGAGGGAGGAGTCATAGTGACCCCTTCCCATTTAACAGTTAACAATTCTGCTCCTTTTCAAAGAAAGGAGGCGGGCCCCTCCGGGAGAGGGGAGGAGTCGTCCTCTTCGGACTCGTCAGAGGACGATTCCGAGTCAAGCTCTTCTGGCCATGCTTCTTTGGACACAGAAGAGAAAAACAACCGCCTGCAAGAGGCGAGACTTTCTCACGCAGTTGAGAAGGGGGACAATTGGGCGGAGCCATCCGCCTCTTACCGAGAGCAAAATACCCCCTACTACTGCACGGTACCTCGGGGCCGGATCACAGCCATGCAAGAGAAAGTGGAGAGCTTTATTGCAAACCACACCATGGGCCCCGACTTTCTAGTGTTTGTGCCGGATCCAGAAGACACAGTCGTCTGGCCGGCTGGTACCAGTTATGATAGCGCCTGCTTTGGCTGCTACGAGGCGGCCATCAAGGCAGGGCTGCGCTTCCCATTACATCCGGCTGTTCAGCGGATCTTGGATGGGTATGAGTTGGGGTTATGGCAGTTAGCCCCAAACTCCTGGGTCAACGTACTCGGCTATGTGGCCGGGTGCGAACTGCACGGGGTGGAGCCGAGCTTCGAGGCTTTCGCCCATATGAACTATCTCAGCCGGACCCCTAAGACAGGCGGTACCGGCTGGTATCAATTGACAAGCCACAGGGGCTACCTCATGACGAGAGGTAAAGCAAATAAGTGGAAGGACTGGCGGAGCACCTTCCTCATCATTGAGAGTTCAGACACTGAGCTGAACAAGCGCTTCAATAGGTGGAACAGGAATCCGCCCCTTCTTGCAGGCGGTCGTAGCATGCCGCCTGTTCCCCCCAAGGCTAAGAAAGAGATCCTTGATAAAGGACTCTTTAAAGTAGAGTCGAGGGTCGACTCTACTTTAGGGGTACGAGAGCAAGTACCCCTGCACTGCGTCCCGAGCTTCAAATGGCTCTACGACGAGTACTTTTTGGCCGCCTGTGGCCTCAGCAGTCGGTGCTCAAGAGGTAGTCGGCCTGTCGAATACTCTGTTGTTCCATACATTTCTTGTTATGACTTTTATTAACTTTGATGTTTGTTTTTGCAGCTGACGCCATGAGCAAAATTACCGCCTCCAAGACTGCGGCGGCCATGTTGCGGGCCTCCATCATGCAACAAGCTTCAACCGACTCCCCCAAGAAGGGGGCACCCTTGGTGAGCTCCGAACCTTTCACCCTCTTTTTGGAGTTGATTTTATGCATATACTGACTTTTTTTTTTTTAGATGGGTGCTCCAAGAGCTTCATCTTCCCAACAGCCGGACCCCAAGGCCCGGAGGACGACTGTTGCGAGCTCTCCTGGTTCTGCCAGGAAACAGGTGGCGGCTGAGAAACAGCCGGCCACTTCTTCTAAAACTCCAACTGGGCCGCCTAGAAGTATGAAGTTGTCCTTGTAAATTTTAGACTTGCTCCCTTTTTTACTAGGTCTAATCCGTTTGTTTATGCTTGATGCAGCCGGCCCTCAGGAGCCTGACTTGGTAGAGATGGCCAAGTCTATGATCAGGGAAGTTCCTCCAGCTGAAAGAGAGGCGGTCAGGGGTGTCGGCACCCTTGACCTAGACGGGATTGCAGGGGTCCTTGCTGAGGTATACTTACCATATTTTTGAGTATTTGAATTTCTGGACGCCTGTTTTCTTTTTGTTTGGAAACTGACGCCTGTTCCTTTGTACTTAGGCCCTGCTCCGAGTGAACGGCCTTCGCAAGCCGCTTGACCGGAAGAACAAAGAGGTAAAGGCTGCAAAAGCTATGGCCGCCTCTGACTGTGATAAGGCAATGTTTCAAATTGCCCAAAATGAAGTTCTGACCATTGATATTCTTTATTATCAGGCGCAGGCTACCGCCGCTGTTCGGGCTCAGTTAGAGGCGGCCCAGAAGAGGAATGGCGAGCTGGAGGCGACCATCACCAATCTCAAGGCCGAGCTGAAACCTCTTCGCCTAAAAATGTACTAATACGAAGCCTTGGAGAAATCCTTGGCCAACGTAAAGGAACGCCTGGTGACCCAGGAGAAGAGTCTTACTCAGGAGCTCTCGGAAAAGGCCG